TTCTATTTCTTCACTATATTTGATACTCATGCAAATGTTATTGGCAAAGCCGAGAAATTGTTTGATACCAATTTCAATTACGAATTCACAGATTTAATTTAATATTAACTCTTGCAAAATATTTCATTAGTAATCGACACTTGCCATTTCTAAGGATATTTTATCTTTAACACCAGCAAATCTTTGGCTATAATTTATTATATATTATCCGGAAGCAATAGCCAAAACAGAATTTAATCCATTTAACTCACTTTCTAATTCAGAAATATAATTTAAATTATCTTTTATTTCATCTCTAAGTGTTGTAAGTAAACGCATATAAATTCTAATTCTATATTTACTCAAAAATAAAATTTTTTGAAAATTTTTTAATACTTTTTTATGCTTTTTATAATTTTTTCAGGCTTACGGGGTCAATTTAGAATAATGGAAACTTTTAGTTAATGTGGCTTGATAAGATGGCTAGTTTGCTGAGGTGTGAGATTCCACCTATGTACGAGCTAATTCAAGCGGCTCAATTATCGGTTGATAAGGATTTATTGAATTGGAAAACATAAAAAGTATGAAACATTATGAAAAGCTTGTGTTCTTTACAAGCAATGAGAAGGACCATCACCATGCCATGCCAAATGAGCAGCATTCCCCCTCTCATATCAAAAGAAGAAGAAGAAGAAGAAAAAAAAAATGTTAGGAACCATAAAAATTTGTCAAGAATTTTATCACCAAAAGTGATATGTGGTCTACATTGAAGTATTGCATAATGAGATTCACACTTCAAACAAATTACAATTATATTTTGTCTTTTTTGATTATTTTTGTAGATAAATTTTCTAAGCTCATAGCATTACTGTTTGGAAAATACTAATGTATATACCTCAATAGTAATTTTGACAGCAAAACATACTATGAACTAATTTGTCAAGGCTAGGCTTCCCTAGACTAGAGAATGTTATCCGGGTTTGTGAGGTTCACTATGGGTCCTAATTTGATTCTTGGAGATAATTTTAGTAATAATTAATTAAAGCAAATAAAATAAATAAAGTAAACAACAAAATTAAACCTTACAGTACTTCTGTAGATGGTTTATGAACAAATTTATGATTGAGGCTAGTGTCTCTCCAATGGTGCTTGAGAACAATGGACATTCTGTCTCCAAGATACAATAATCACCACGAACGAGCGAGCACACTCTTCGATTGTACAGCGAACCAAAATTATGTTTTGCACTCACAAAATTCAGACTCACACAAATGAAGAATATAAGAAAAATGCTTGAACTTGAGAAATTTTCGAATGAAAAAAAAAATTGGAATGAGGGCTGCCTTTATATAGGCTTGTTAGTACCTATTCAGTTTGAATAGCAAAGGCACGAAGAAGGGACATCACCCTTCCTTTAAAATAAAGAGACACCATGAAAATATTATACCCTTTCATTCAAATGGAGTCTATTGCAATTCACCACTGCCTTTATAAATTTTTCAACAATCCCCCAAATGAATGAAATTGACGAAACGAGAAATACAACAACATGCAGACTATGTGAGTACAAACTGGAAATATCCTGCATAGGATAGGTAGTTTTTGGCCTTGAATCTTCTCTGTTCTGTTGTTGGTGTAAACCAAGACAATAGCCTGTCACATAGTTTTATTTCCATACACAACTTGATTCTATTGGTTGTGTCTATTTTGGCCCTGGATAATTCGTAGATTCATGAGTGCGTTAGAGAATTTAGCCTTTTCAATTCTCATAGAACCGGCCTAGTTCACACTCATATGGGTGATTCCCATTAAAAGTATCCTACTATACCCCACTTGAATTTTCAAGCTATGAGTCTCATTGAAAGGAAAGCTTAACCTATTTATCGTTGTAGGTAATCACTATCTCATCATAGAAATGGGTAGGAGTATTACTCCTTAGTGATTCTAATGAGTCATTCTTAATTCAATTGTTCCTTTGAACCTAGATCTTGGTATCTCTAATCAACTAGGTTGGGTTGCCATTAAGATAACTCTTAAGTAATAGGCTTTAATCCCATTCCGCTTGATGATTGCAACACTTGCTCTCTGGTCAAAGTCTTTGTTAACGGATCTGTATGTTTCCTTTTGACCTTATAAACTCAATGGAAATTATTCCATTAGAGAGAAATTGCCTAACAGTGTTACGTCTACGACAAATGTGATGAGACTTACCATTATACATATAATTCTGTGCCTTAGCCATTACGGTTTGACTATCGTAATGAATGCAAATCACTGGCACATGTTTCGACCATATGGAATATCTTTTAAGAAATTACAAAGTCATTTTGTTTCTTCTCCTGCTTTGTCTAAAGCAATAAATTCATATTCCATTGTGGATCTAGCTATACAAGTCTGTTTAGAAGATTTCCAAGAGACTGTTCCACCTCCTAAGGTAAAGACATATCCATTACTAGATTTAGAATCCTTAGTATCAGATATCCAATTAGCATTGCCATACCCTTCTAGGACCACTGGATATTCAGTATAGTATAGCCCATAGTTACATGTGTATTTTAGGTATCTAAGAACCCAACAATTGCTATCCAATGGTCTGTTCCCGGGTTACTAGTGTATCTACTCAATTTATTTATTGCATACGCTATATCAAGACGCATGCAACTCATGAGATACATTAGACTTCCAATTATAAGGGAGTATTCCAATTGTGATATGCTTTCACCCTTATTTTTCATTAAATGAAGGTTAGCATCTACATGTGTCTTTACATGATAGTCGTCATGCTAATTGAATTTCTCAAGAATTTTGTCAATATAATGAGTTTGAGGCAAAACATATCCTTCAGATGTTTTAGTAATTTTCATTCCTAAAATCACATATGCTACTCCCATATCTTTCATGTCAAACTTAGTATTCAACATTTTCTTAGTAGAATTGATCATTCCACTATTGCTACCAATTTTAGCATATTATCTACATATAGGCAAACAATGACATAACCTTTATCAGTGTTTTTAACATAAACACATTCGTCACACTCATTGATTTTAAATCCATTTATTGTCATGACGTTGTCAAATTTTTCATGCCATTACTTTGTTGTTTGTTTCATGCCATACAATGATTTTACTAATTTGCACACTTTCTTCTCTTAGCCTAGAATGACAAAACCTTTTGGTTGTTCCATGTAGATTTCTTCATTCAGATCACCATTCAGGAATGCAGTCTTTACATCCATTTGATGTATCTATAGATTGTTTAAAGCAACAATTGCAATTAACATTCTAATGGATGTGATCCTTGTTATGGTGAATAGGTATCGAAGTAATCTACTCCTTCAGTTTGCCTATAACTCTTGACCACAATTCTTGCTTTGTACTTGTCAATTGATCTATCCGGTCTCATTTTCCATTTGAATATCCATTTATATCTAAGAGGTTTACAACCTGGTGGAAGATATACCAATTCCCAAGTATGATTTTGTAGAATAGATTCAATTTCACTGTTAAGATCTTCTTTCCATAAAGGAGCTTCCGGAGTTGACATTGCTTCTTTGAAAGCTTGAGGCTCTTTCTCGATTAGAAATGTTAAGAAGTCAGGACCAGAAGTTTTCGCAACTCTAGCCCTTTTACTTCGTCTAGGTTGTTCATCAAACTCTCCTTTATGGTTTTCTTCAACCAATTCTTAACTATTGTCAAATGCAATATCATGAGTCCAATTAGGAATAATCTCTTGAGCGGATTTGCAAGGAAAAATATTTTTGAAAAATGAAGCATTCCTTGACTCAATGATTGTATTAACATGGACCTCTGAGTTGTCACTTTTATGTACTAAAAATCGATAAGCACTATTGTTATTTGCATATCCAATAAATACACAATCAATTGTTTTAGGACCAATCTTGACCTTTTTAGGGTCTGGTAATTCTACCTTAGCCAAACATCCTCACACTTTTAAATATTTATAGGAAGGTTTTTGGCCTTCCATAATTCATAATGTGTTTGAAGGGTTTTCTTGTGAGGTGTTTTATTCAAAATATAATTGGCAGAAAAAATAGCTTCCCCCCATAAGTTCTGAGATAGTCCCAAACTTATTAACATAGCATTCATCATTTCTTTTAAAGTTCGGTTTTTCCTCAAGGCAACTCCATTGTGTTGAGGTGTATAAGGCGTAGTAGTTTGGTGCACAATTTCGAGTTGTGAACATAAGTCACCAGAAGGCGCATCATATTCACCACCTCTATCACTTCTTAATACCTTAATTTTTCTACCTGGTTATAATTCAACCTCATTCTTATATTGAATGAATTTTTCCAAGGCTTCATCCTTGCTTCGTAGCAAGTACACATAGCAAAATCTAGTGCTATCATCAATAAAAGTAACGGAATACTTTTTGCCACCCCGTGTCTGAACAAATTTAAAATCACAAATATCACTATAGACTAAGTCCAATGGCTCAGTTTTCCTTTCAATTAATTGAAATGGTGCTTTATTTAATTTTGCTTCAACATACACTTCACATTTGTGATTTGAATCAATTTGAAATTTAGGCAAATAATCTAGGTAAATTAATCTTCACAAAGTATCTTAATTTACATGACCTAATCTTCCATGCCACACACAAGAAGACTCAAGCAAGTAAGCTGAAGATGTGTTAATTTTATTAAACTTTGGAACAACTGTCATTACATTAAGTTTAAAGAGCCCATTGCTCATGTACCCCTTTCCTACATACATTCCATTTTTGGTGAGTACAAACTTATCAGACTCAAACACTAATTTAAATCCATTCTTGCTCAGCAACGATCTAAAAACGAAGTTCTTTTGAATATTTGGTACATACAACACATCTTTGAGAGTGAGTTCTTTGCTTGACGTCATCTTTGGCACCACGTTCCTTTGTCCTTCAACTTTGGAAGTCGAAGAATTCCCCATGTAGAGTTGTTCTCCATCTTCTGCTGCATGATATGATAAGAACATTTTTTTCTTGGAACAAATGTAGCGATTAGAGCCTATGTCCACCTACCATGCTTTGCGGTTGTCCACCAAATTGACTTCATACACGACACCAGATACCTTTAGGTGCGAAACCATTGCACAGAGACTTTCTTCTTCTGTTAAGTTGGCTTGAGTGGGTTTTTTCTTATAGTTCCCTTGAGTCCTCCTCTTGCAACAATCCTTGGCACGATGTCCCATTTTGTCACACAAAAAGCACTTGCCATTAAAATTCTGACTATCTCCACTTTTAACACCTTGCCAGGAGCACCTTCCGGGATGCTTCCTTTTCTTATTGTTGAACTTTGGCTTATGTTCCACAATGTTTGCCTTGGATTCCATGAAATGATGTCCATTTTTCTTTTCAAAACCACGATTATCCTCTTCAATCCGCAAGCGAACAATCAAATCATCTAGTGACATCTCTTTGCATTTATGTTTTAAATAGTTTTTGAAATCCCCCCAAGTCAGTGGTAATTTTTCAATAATCACCGCCACTTGAAAAGATTCTCTTAGAGACATTCCTTCTGCATGAATTTCATGTAGGATAACTTGAAGTTCTTGGACTTGATTGATCACTGTTTTGGAATCTGCCATCTTAAAATCAAGGAAGTAACTGACAATAAATTTCTTTGTTCTGACATCTTCTGTTTTATATTTGTGATCAAGCGAATCCCATAATACGTTTGTAGTCTTGATTGGACTATACACATTGTATAATGTGTTATCCAACTGATTGAGAATATAGTTCCTGCAGAGAAAATCTGCATGTTTCCACGCATCCACTATTGCAACAACTTGTACATCACTTTCATTCTCACTAAGAGATAGAGCATTTTCTCTCAAAAACCTTGCCAAATTCAAGGTGGTTAGATAAAATAACATTTTCTATTGCCAACGTTTAAAATCTGTCCCACTAAATTTTTCAAGTTTTTTCCCATGATTGATAGGAACATGACCATGTCCAACAACCGTCGAAATGGAAGCAACCGATGTAGACACAACGGGTAGGGGCAGTATTTTTTGATGTAACATTACTTTCTGTAGCCATTTTTTATTAACAATTTTCCCCCCTTTTTTATGTTAAACGGAAGATTCCCCTATATATAACTATAAAAATAAATTTATATATATAGAGAGTAAACTTCACAATACCAGAATAATATAAAAATAAGTGTCCAAATAATCTAGTATACTACAAATTATTAGGACAACAAAACAGAGTTCTATTGCAAAGAGAATTTGGGTAAAGAATTTTTTATTTTTTTTTCAAATTAAAAATGTCCACCAAACAATAACCAAATACAATCAGTCAACAACCGCGTTCCCAAAAAATAGTATTCTGGAAAATTAACACTAGAACCAGAATACAAAAGAATAGAGTTTCACTATAACACTGTTACAGCTAAAACAATATTGAAAGGTCACACGTATAACAATTATCCTGACAGAGTCCCACAATAATGCGATAAAGAAATTTAAAAAAAAAAATAGTACAGTACAAAAAATCAAACCAAATTTTTACTGTAAAGGAAATGCAAGAGAAAAAAAAATAGTAAACCAGAAACAAATATTGCAGGATTCTGTAAACCTAAAACCAAAATTTAATAAAAAAAGAGTTATACTCAAATACAGATTCGGGTAAATATTAGTCAACAAATGTGTAATAATAAACCAAACAGTATAAACCTAGAGTTTTATACATTGTGTATAAGAAAAAAATTTACTAAACATTAATTTTAATAAAAAAAACAATATTATAATACAGAAACCAGTATATGAATTTTTGTCTTAAATTTCTTGATGATAATTTTGGCAATAATTAATTAAGGAAAATTAAATAAATAGAGTAAACAACAAAATTAAACCTTATAGTACTTTTGTAGATGGTTTATGAACAAATTTGTGATTGAGACCAATGTTTGAACACTGTATCTTTAAGATAAAATTTCATCCTCTCCAATGGTGCTTGATAGGAATGGCAACGGGGCAGGGCAGGGCCGGGGATCGCCCTCCCCGTCCCCGATCCCCGAAGGCACAAAAGTCCCCGTCCCCGTCCCCGATCCCCGGCGGGGAACCAATCACCCTCCCTAGGCCCGCCCCCTAATGGGGATCGGGGATCCCCGACCCCGAAAAATCCCCGTACAAAAACAACGTCCACAACAAACAACAACCACCCCAACAAATCAACAACCACAACATTACAACAGATGAACCAAAAAAAAAAATGATGAACCAAAAACAACAGATGAACAAACAACAACCCAACACAACAACAGATGTATATATATAACTTAAAAAAAAAATTATTCATCAACAAGAGGGAGAGAGAGAGGGCTTCTGCAGCTTCAGCTTCAAAAAAATTGTTCATCAACGAGAGAGAGAGATCGGTAGCTTCAGATCGAACCACGGTCTATCCAAATCGAACCAACCACGATCTTGGTCCTGTGTACGGATGAAAGATGGTGAAGAAGAAATGATCGAACAACGATCTAAGTGAAAAAAAGCTTCAGATCGAGCCACGATCCCGTGAGTGAGGGAGAGAGAGACGATGGCGATGTGATCCGTGGAGGAGGAGGATCCTGTGAGTAAGGGAGAGAGAGAGACGATGGCGATGTGATCCGTGGAGGAGGAGGGAGGAGGGGAGTGGTGGGAGTATTAGTGGAGGAGGAGGTGGCGGTGAGAGATGGTGAAGAAGGAAGAGAGACCAGAGGTGGAGAGGAAGAGAGATATGAGGAATGGAGAGAGAGTAGATCTACATCAATGAATGAGAGAGAGAGTAGATGGAGATGAGAATAAAAAAAGTATATATACCTAAATGAATAAAAGATAGGGATGACTCATCAGGGATATATAATATATATATATATCATTCGGGGGAACAAACGGGGCGGGGCTCGGGGCCGGGGGCGGGGCGGGCCGAGACTGAAATATGTATCCCCGTCCCCAGCCCGAATATCATCGAGAATTTTTTTTTTATCACCATCCTCGGCCCGTCGGGGATATTTTTCAGGGAATAACCGTTATATTCGGGATCGAGGGGTCGGGTCCCCATCGGGTCGGTTTCAGATTGCCATCCCTAGTGCTTGAGAACAATGGACATCCTGTCTCTAGGATATAACAATCACCACAAACGAAGAGAGGACACTCTTTGATTATACAGCAAACTAAAATTATGTTTTGTACTCACAAAATTCAGACTCACACAAATGAAGAATACAAGAAGAATGCTTGAACTTGAGGAATTTTCGAATGAAAAAAATTGGAATGGGGGCTACCTTTATATAGGCTTGTTGGTACCTGTTTAGCTTGAATAGAAAATGCACGAAGAAGGGACATGACCCTTCCTTTAAAATAAAGAGAAAACATGAAAGGATTGCACCCTTTCATTCAAATGGAGGGCTGCGCCCTTTCATTCAAATGGAGTCTATTGCAATTCACCATTGCCTTTATAAATTTTTCAATAATTTGATGATTTGGCTCATTCATTTTATAGAGCCTTTCGTGTATATGTAGTGTTTCGGGTCTCAAATCCAACTTGTTTATGTTAATTGATACCTGTTACCTTGTACTTGTATTGCTTTTCAGACTTTTGGAATTGATGGGTTTACATTTGACCTTTAGTTATTATAATTGGGACCTTCGTCTAGATGTTTAGAGCTTTGATTGATGTATTAACATGATGGTTAGGCAAGATTGGACAAAAAATTTCAAATTTGAATGTTTATTTTTGAGTAGTATTAACCTTTTTATTTTTTTTGAGTAGTATTACGTTGGAGAGTTTACTTTCGGGACTTCAATTTAAACACAAAATTGAACAAATCCTTACTCCGAAAGAGAGAAAGATATGTCTATTTGAAATTTATCCTGTGAAATTGTTTGGATCAATCTGCACATGCAGAATCTTTATTCCACGCGAGCAGATTATCCAAGCTTGAGAGCAAAATTTGCCATCCAGCTAAATATTTTTTGGCCTTTTTCCTTTATATTTTGACTCTCTTTCCTCACTTTTTCACTCAGTCTACATTTCTTTTTTCTGTCTAAAACCATAGTCGACCATTTATCTCATTTACCTGGAAGGAGGTTTTCATAATAGTTCATTTATTAAAGTTGTAGAGCAAGACGAGAGCTACGTTCTCACCAAAGAAAATCAAAATTTGGGCAACTTTAAAATTTGAAGCTCTTTGTCAGTTTTGACGTAGAGATTTTTTGGCTTTTGTTAAATATGAGCAACAATGTGAATGTATAGTTTGTTTTTTTTTTTAATAATGAAAATTGTGAAAGATTTCCCATGCCTTACATGAGAAGTGTGATTTGGTTTAAAGCTTGAAATTTCTTTGCTATATATCATCTCAAAATTTCAATTTGGACAATCTACTTCCTTTCTATTTGTGCAAAGGTGAAATGCCATAATTTTTAGAAAAAACCCCTAATTGTATGAGTTCAAAAAATTGTAGAAAATAGTCCACAAAGAGAGTGGTGAGAGCTTCTCTCTTTAGGAGATTTTCGACAGTACTCTGATGACCACCTTTACAGTTTTAAAATGTACACTCTTAGAGTATATATCTACACTTCTAGAATGTAGATCTGGATTTTTTTATGTCTGGAATAGCGGTTTTGAGTATTTCTCCTATGATTTCGGCATAAATATTTTGATATTCAACATCTATAATGGTTCCCTCTTCTCTCAAACCTTCTTCTATATTATTATCTATTTTCTTCCTCTCTAACTCCAACTTCTGGCGATGTCCAAAGTACCGCGACGACGGTGGTGGAGTTGAGCACCGATGACGATGACGGCAATGGTAGGTGTTCATGCAGATCTTGATTGGTTTGATGCAAATCTAGCTTTGTAAACCATATCTATGAGATGAGAGGATTGGTGGTTTTTCCTAGATTGTAACTAATTTTTTTGATGGATTTGTTCTTTTATGTTGTTTGTAGTTTGTTATATGCTTGTTTGTTTGGCCCTTTAGAGTCTTGTTATTTTTTTTCCTTGTTGTATATTGTTTGTTTTATTTTAATATAACTACTTTTTTATGTTCTCAAAAAAAAAAAATGTAAAAAATTAGAAATGACACTTTATAAGTGAAATTGAGGATCAACATTGTTAATTGAATATATTTTCAAAATGTGGAAATTGAAACATGAGAATGGAATTATGTTTTATTGAAAGCTTTGAAGGTATTGCATATATTATGGAAATTGAATTTGGAACTCATCACAGGTCCATTTTGATAATTTGAATTGTTCAGTTTGTAAGGATCTCAATGTGTATCAATCATGAAAAAAATTAGGTCTATTTGATAATTGTAACCTTTTTCATATTTTATCATATTTCGTTATGAAATAATTGACAATTATATTTTTGAACATAGACCATTTATTTTTTTATGAGACAAACATGACAAAATAAAAAAGGTAAATTATGATGTAGTCCCTGTACTTTGTTTCTTATGTCATTTTGGTCCTTGTGATTTTAATTGGCTCGATTTTGACCTTAAATTTATGACTTTGTCTCAATTTGATCCAATTGATTATAACTTTTGACATTTTTTTTTCATGAAAAATACATACATAAGAGGCATGTGTCATAATTTTAAGAGCAAAAGTATAAACTTATTGAACTCAGTGAGTTAATCTTAACCAATTTAGTGATAATTTTTTGTCAAAAATACTACCAACATTATCAATTGGATCAAATTGGCATAAAATCTAAAATTAAGGGTCAAATTTGATCTAATTGAAGTGTAGGAACTAAAATGACCCAATGAATAAAATGTAGAGACCAGTAGTGTAATTTGCCCAAATAAAAATGTTATGATCATCAAAATAACTCTTTTTTTTTTGTAAGGAAAAATTATTGGAAAATCCCATTTGGGAGA